AATTTGACATGTTCTCATGCATCGCCGTTGGTTGACCATAACAGCTTATTCAGTGAAGAGATGTCCACCCAGTCCCAGTTACCTGGCTATTTCAGTCTTGCAACTTGAATATGCGCCCTTGTAGCGGTCGGCTCCGCTAGCTTAATCTCCCGCGAAGTCTCGGCAATTCAACCATACAAATGAAATATAGACAAGAGATTGAATGTTGCCATTTCTGTGCCAACTCGTACGACTTTAAAACTGGACTTCCGAAGCCAAAAATATTTACGAAACCTGGTTTAGGCAAGTTGCACCAAATAAAAAGAACCCATCAATAACCTTTTACCTTTTGTTCCAAACCATTTCAAAGTGCCCAGTTCTCAACTTCTCGCGCGTATATATATGAACAAGGAGAGTACAGCGAAAAAACGTTCGAAGCCCTCCAATCGAGTAATGCCTTTCATATGCGAACCAGAATTCAAACCATACTCTAGCACAATATTCACAATTCAAAGTCGGTGAAAAATCGTCTCGATATCAACAAACACCACGGCGGTATTTCATTGGCCAAGGTGAGCATATCGAAAAAGAGCTCTACGGTGCAGAGACTTGGCCTCTACGGGAACAGGATAAAAATAGATTTTCCGTGTTCGAACACCGCTGTCTACGTCGCATTGCACGAGTCTGGTGGGGTAACCGGACTAGCACTCCTGAGGTTAGGTGCAGGAGTTTTAGGCAGTCGCGGTCGTCCACTGGAGCAAATGACCGACCTCCATAGATCACGTTGCTTGGGGCATGTTATACATGGCACCAAATAGGTTGCCACGGCAAGCGATGTTTGCCGGGATAGGTAGCGGTTGAAAAAAGGTGAGAGGTGGTCAAATGAAGATCTGGCATGAGTGTATGAAAACCCTAACCAAGAGACTAGGTCACATAGGCCCCGTCAAGCTCCCTGGCTCGGGATGATGGTCACCGATGGTTAGAGATACTGAGTGATATGGCTGAGTGTCGTAAAGTGGCGCTCGTGCACCTGCTCATTGTTCACCATTCTACATGAATTTGCTTTCAACATTTCAGTCTTCATTCTGCTCTTTTATCCAAATGGGGCACGAAAAGATAGCAACCAAAACCGGCGCACGAAAGTGCATGGTTAATGGTTGTAAAAACTGAACTGAACTATTGCCGCCGTTGAATGCTCAAGCACGAATTCAAAGACCAGTCGGCGAAAAATTGTTATTAATAACTACAGATTGAAAACTGCATTATCCCACCTGATGGAAAGAACCACGTTCTGCAAGCTTCAAATTAGTCTTCGCCTATACCCAACTCTCTCTCTTTGTCTCTTCTTTCGACACGTCACACTCCACCAAACAACTTATTTGTCACCCGACAGAGCTCTTTTGTAAATAGCACTGTGAATAGTTAACCAAATAAATTGAAGATTTTCAAATCTCGTCAACCTCTGAATGATGGGGTTTCCAACTTGGACTCTCACGCATGTGGGTTAACAAGCATTCCCCGAGCGGACAGTGAACCCCTTTAGAAACTGAAGTCCGCTGCGTGTCGGAGTTAAGTAGAGGATTCTAGCGCCGGCAGATGACCTTAGCGAGCAGGTTGAAAAGCTAAGTGCATCCGTGCAGCGAACAAACAATGGCGACCATCTACTTTAGTTGTGCGCAGATCGTTGGTTATGCATATCTAGCACCAAATTTCGACAGATCTCGACGGACGGCAACATGGTGACTTAGTTCGACGGGCCAGTTCAGCCAAAATGACCACAGATGTAAGCCACTGTTGCCGTGCCTCGGTACGAAATTACAGATCCTATTGGACCACCTACGTCGAGTCTGATCAAGCGTTAGTGCTCATGCGCTTCACACCTCCATGCATCGGCAAGAATCGCGTCCTCAAATGGCTTATCGCGTGGGCGACCCGGCTATGCGATATATTCTGAAGCAAAGTTTTGCTCGTGGGACCGAGTTCGAAGTTTGTCTAAAACAATAGATCTCTCAGGAGTCCTGATAGAACAATAGTGAAAGCTCCCAACCGCCCAGGATCAACACAAGAACCTATGAGATTTGAAAACTCAACTCAGGAAAGACCGCGGTTACTGGTAGGTCAAAATAGCTAGTGAAAGGGAGGTAGCCTCTGCATAAAGGAATGGTCAAACAGTTTCATCTGATACGCGGCACCGGAGAACGTCGTACACCGGTCAGTCAAACCACTGGTGAAAAACGTGGTCAGGGTATTTACAATAAAGAACAGCGACTCGATTGACGCGTAGAGTATTCAACAGTTAGAACGGTCTGGCGATTTTGCAGTTATTGCGGCAACTCCGGCGGAAAATGCGTGAGAAGTAACGTGAGTCCCCAAGCAGAACTACAAGTATGAGGCTGCATCCAGTTGCTGATGAAAGCGAGGCAGGCGGGACCTGATGGTCTTTTAGTTTTTTTTTTCAGCTGAGGTGACTCGTCCACTGGGCCACTAATTTACTTTACATTTAGTCGAAACAGGGTATCCCTTGTTCAGGACTGTGATTGACCGCCCCGCCATTCAAGAAAGGATCACGCAACGGCTGGGCAAACTACCGTGGGCTAAGTTCGATTCCGATCACCACCTCGCCATCCGACACTCCTAACGGCCATGAATATTCATGAATAGCAAGC